GGGGGGGGGGGGGGAGCCTGGAGAACCCCCGACGGTACCAGGGGTCGAGGGGAGATGAAGCCCCAATAACCCCTTTCACCCTCCTCCCCGCCCCACAACCAGATCACAAAGCTGAAGATCGACAGGAATCCCTTCGCCAAAGGTTTTCGGGATCCTGGGAGGAACAGGTAAGAGCCAGGGGCACCCCCCTGCCCCCCATACCCTGCCCACTGGCCTCGCCGCGATGCTCAGCCTGCTCTCCCCCCGCAGAGGGGTCCTGGATGGGCTCCTGGACACCTACCCGTGGCGGCCTCCCCTCGCCTTGGACTTCAAGGCTTTCGGCGCAGACAGCCAGGGTAAGTCCTTTTTACCTTCCTGCCTTTTTTTTTTTTTTGTTATTTCTTCTCTGCCTCTCCCCGTGGTCTCAGGGCTGCTCAGCGGCCGTACGCCCGGAGGTGTCCACCGGGGCACATCGTGGTGGGGGGTCTTAAACCATTCAGATTAAAAAGTTGAGTCCAGCAAATGAACCGGCGGCCAACGTAAAGTTTGAGGAAGCCAATTCCACATGTTTTCAGCCAAAACTCCTGTTAAAATTGATGCGAGGAGCAGAACACTTATCCAGGGAAGAGAGGGGTGACGGCACGGTCTGCCTTCATCACCATGCAGAAATCAGATGTGCAGGAAAAAAAAAATATCCTGAGTGCGCAGGAGGCTCATTTAGAGCCGGGTTGTTGCAGCTTTGATCCTGTTACACTAATTGTTTCCAAGCCGTTTGAGAATATTAGCTAAAATCCTGAAAATAATGACTGCCGGTGCCCTGCAGCCGGCTGCTGCTGTCCGAACAAATGCGTTATGCGACAGAAAGTAAAATTATCTGCTGATTAGGATGTTGCAGTGCCACAGTCTCCACAGAAATGCGGGGAAGGGGGAAAAGCTTCTCAGGGAAAACAATCTCCCCCCACCTGACAAGCACACGTTGGTCTCTTACAGCCCTTCTCCAGAAAAAAAAAAACAAAAAAAACCCAAAAAACCCCCAAAGCTTTGGGAAGTATTATTTGAAAACTGATTATTCATAGCACCGAAGGAAAAAAAAAACAAAAACAGACCGTCTGCATGCTGGAGCACTCCAGTTTGGGTTTAAAGTTGTCAGTTTAAGTCTCATTTATGGTAGGAACTCTTCAAAGTATTGGGGTGCACCAAATCGTTCCTCTCTCTGCAGGGAAATGCTGCAAAACTGCAAAAATCTGTGCTGTAGGAATAAAACGTCAGACTCGGGAGAAATTAAGAGGTTTATCGGGTTGTAAAAAGAACTAGAATTTTTTTTTTTTATTAATTTCAGAAAGAATTTATGGAAAAAGTGCCTTTTTGAAGCCGTTTTGCAGGCTGTGATGCAGTACCAAGGAGAGGAGCTGCCGGAGGGGCTGCAGTGGGGGCTGAGAGAACAGCAACTGCTTGATTATTGTACAGATGCTAAACTATACGGGCTCCCCGGGATTTTTTTTGGGGTTTTTTTTTTGGCTCATCTTAACGTAATTAGTATTTTTCTTCAGAGTGAATTTCCTGGACTGATTTAAATATAGCAAAATCTCCAGTTCCACTAATGGTAAAACTGTATTTTTAAAGAAGCTAAAAAGTAGAAATCCTGAAGCGCCCAAACAAGAAGGCAATTTTTTTTAAAAAAAAAAGTATAAGCATTAAGTTGAGGAAAGAATTGGACATAAACTTTGGATTTTTAAGCCTACTAGAAATGGCAGAAAGGATCTGCTCCTTGAGGTGCTCTGTCCTCCCCACTGGGACCCCCATTCCCAGCGCAGTTATCCCTTGGGGTACCTCGAAGCAAATACTAACACCAGTTTGCTCCGCTGCAGTGGCCACGTAGGGGTTTGTTTGCTGCCTCGCGCTCATAGATCGTCTCCATCGCATCATTTTCCATGAGCAAAAGCCCCTGAGTCCTGGGAGGACGTCAGGACACGCGCACGGGGAGAGGACAGACCCCTGCCTGCATCCCTCCTGCTGATGTCAGTCCCGAAACAGCCGCTGACATCAGCGGGGAAGGGCGAGACCTTCGAGCCGTAAAACATCCCCGAATTATTGCGACTAGGTGCCGCCTGCACGTTACCCAACCTGTCAGATACTCTGCTTGCTGGGAGTTTGCAAAATTAATTTTGCAGCGCGTCCGAAATCTTTGTGGTTTTTTCAAAGGTTTGGTCTGGTAGCGGATACGGCTTGGTTATGCAGCTGATGCTGTGCTGACGGTGGCGTGCAAAGCCTGGCCAGATCACATCCAGACAGTGTGTCACTTGGAATTAAAGGCAAATAGAGAAAAAGGCAGAGTAAAAAAATGGGTCCGCATCCAGTGATTTTGGTAAGAAATGAAAATAAAGGGGGGGGGGGGGGGGAAACCCTCCCTCTGGAAGAATGTGGTAATGAATGCACAGCACATACGGCTCTTAAACGGTGTTAGATGAAACCAGCATCTGTTCCACACAGGGCCGGCCGCCCCAGAGCACCGTTCCCACGCCAGAGCAGCCGCCGTCGCTCAGTTTTTGCTCTGGACGCTGCCCCGGAGGAGCGGCGAGCCGGGGCGGGACGGGGATGTTAGACCCCAGCGGCCTCGGCAGCACGTGCGAAGGCCAGCCGCTGTCGCTTTTCTGCCAAATTATGAAAGTGTTCATTGATTCATTTCAGAAAGGAGAATGTTAAAATGAGACGTGCATTTAAAGTTTCTGGAGACACCTCTAGTAGCCGAGGGTATGTTTCAAATTGCATGGGAAGCCAAGTAAAATTAGTCAATTCCTGTGAGTGGGAAGGTACAAAAAAATTCTCCATCAGGCTGAATACATTTTTTTGTTCTTATGTACAAGGGGGAAAAAGCTGCCTGTAATTTGCATGAAAAATAGGGAATCTAAATTATCGGTGGTGTACGTATAGCGGGAGGAGGTGATGGCTCGTAGAGCGAGGCACAGACCCGGCAGGTACCTGTATGATGGCGTTGAACTTCAGAGCTCTCCCGGTCGAACGGATGTGATTAGACATGTGTGAATATTGTTCTTAGACCAGGGCCAAGTGACACCACCAAATAATTCATGGACACATCTTCCCATTTTCCAGGAGCTGGTTTTTGGAGCAGGTTTATGCTTGGATGGACACCGGCAGCAGGGAGACGTGGCGTGGGCGCAGGAGTCCCCCAGGGGTTCCTTGGCTGTGAACGCTGGTGAGCCCAGCCTGATGGTTTCTGGTTTGTTGTTTTTTTTTCAGGTGGGAGCTCCAGTTCTTCGCCAGTGACGTCCAGCGGCGGGACGCCCTCTCCTCTCAACTCCCTGCTCTCTCCATCGTGCTCACCTCCTACGTTTCACTTGTCGGCGAGCAACATCGGCATGTCGTGCCCCGAGACCTACCTACACAACCTCAACGTGCCCCTGTACTACAAGATTTGTCCTACGAGCTTCTTAAGACAACAGTCTCTCATCTTTCCAAGCCACGAAAAACTGGGAGGCACCAACCCGCATCTTCTACCCCACTTCATGGTGGACATGCCAAAACTCTCTTCCCTCGGCATAACCAGTCTGAAAAATACTAAAGCTGAAGACTTAAACGGGCAATGCCTACAAGTACCCAGTTCTGCGAATCAAATGCTGTATGGATTACATGCATCTGGAAACATTTTCCCATCAAGTCCCATTGCTCGGGAAGCACTTAATTGTTCTTTACATCCTCCATATGGCTTGTACGGTTATAACTTCTCCGTGCCATCTAGACTGATGAATGCAGCAAGCCATTTCAAAGTGAGTGACAGCATCCCGGCTTCCTTGAGAGATGGCAGATGTAATCACTCTAACTGGCACCCGACAATTAACCATTGCCTTTAGTGGAACTATATGTTATTTCTAAGCATTGATATGTAAAGCAAGCTTTTCCTTCCTTCATACCCAAGGGCTTGCTAGTTATCGACTATGAAATACTGCATGGTACGGGAGCGGTATGTTTAGGCATTTAACTCCTTTTGTGGGCAAACGTGTCATGCTGTTGGGAGGGCGGAGGACCTGGGAGCGCGGAGGGTCTGAGACGATCCACAGCAAGGTAGTACCCTTCGGTAATATTTATGTCATGGTTGTAGGTTAAGAGCAAACCGTGCAGTTGCCTTTTTAATATTTGCACTCTGAAGTGGGAACGTAGACACACACATTTCTACAAATATGTTTTCCTGAAACTCTCTATCTCGCTTGCCTTTAGTTAGCTCAAAGCCCTAGTGAGCTTCTGCTCACCCCACTCGAGTTTTTCCACTAATTTCAAAGGGACTATTCAAGACCCTGAGGCAGCAAAGGAGCCGTGTTTGGCCAGGTGCTTGAGCATCTTCTCAAGTTCCCTTGGATTTAATGGGTCTTAATTAAGGACATGGAAGAGCCTTGTTCTCCAGGACCCAGATGTCAGACTGAGGACATAAATCTAAGTATCTGCTGCCAAAGGAAAGCCAGACAGGATAAAAGATGGATGTGTTCCTACCTCGTGGGGATGAGAAAGCAGTGCCTGATGCAGGGGAGCCCCAAGAACCCTCCTCTCCATGCTCCCACTTCTGGAGATCTCCAGGAGGAGGTAGAGCAGAGAGGCACCAGCACGGATGGTGCGGTGGGAAGGAACAGGGCATGGGGGGTCACACGTCTCCCCCATGGCAAGACAGATCCACGCTGGGGGAGCTGGAGGATACACCTCAGAGAGCTGTGGGGGATGAAACACCTCCGGGGGCCCTTGCAGGACACTCCTCCAACCCAGAGCTTTCAGCCCCAGGGGACACAGAAGATCCACGGGGGATCGTGTCCCGTGCCTGCGGGAAGGGGCAAGGACACTCCTGGCTCAGTCCTGGGAGAGTTACAACTCTACGGGCCCCGAAACATGAGATTTTCAATTCCTTCCAAAAGTCCTGTTTGGTTTATTATAACCTGTGGATATTCCTGTTATTCCTGTAAATAATCTCTAGCTCTCAAGGGCACAATATAACTGACAATAAATTGGGGCACAGGTTTTATTCTTTATTTGATCGACACTCAGTCCCTATCTGAAGCCAAATTTATTACTTGATATATGACAGAGATTTGAAAATACTGCTTGACTGGGACTGGCTGCATTTTGGGATTAAGATAAGAGAATCGTGTATTTACAAGCGTAACGCAGCACTATATAGGGGTTAAGCGCAGGTTTAAGAATCAAAACTGGTATCAGAGTTTTGGTTTTATTTTCATCCCTAACAGGCAACAAATTAAGAGCAGAACAATCAATATCAAAAGCTGTTAAAATAACAAAGAGTTACACTTTTACTTTCATGAGACGTTGCTAAAAATCAGACATTTTTTTTTTCCATAATTGACCCGTTTTAAGTGTTCGCAGAGCCCCCGGCAATACCAGTATGAAATGGTGGGCTGTGCTTGCCTCGCTAAATGGTCTGTGCATCTGTAAAAATGAACAAACCTGCTTTCTTGTGCTGTTCCTTAGCAGTTTATCTCATTATTTTTATTAAAAAAACAAAAAACAAAACAAACAAAAAAAAAACCCCAAAACTATTTTTTTCACTCAGGAGTCCTTATTTCCAGGCGATCCCTCATCGTCGGTGGTGGCTGAGTTCCGGACGGGCTCTGCGAAACGCTGCGATCTCAGCTCCCCCATGGGCTGAGTGACCCAGTACTGGCCCCCACATGTGGTTATACTTTTGGGGAGCTGGAAGGCTCTTCCAGATCAGTCACGGATTTGTGGGTGGATGCAATGGGTAACTTCCAATTTTCCAAATATTTGCGGTTGTGTAAGATATTCCGGAGTTGCCGGCCATGAGCTGGTGATCCAACAGACCAGAGTTTGTCTACTTGAAAACGTGACTGGTAATGACTAGAATAGATATTCTCAATCTCACAGAGATAGGTATTTAAATTGAGATCAGATAAGTTCCACCTACAACAGCTGAGCAAACGCTCTCTTTGACAGGACCCACCTCATTCCTACTCGGAGCACGTTTGCGCACAGGCACGGGGCTTCCCCGCGCTCCCTGTTTTGCTTTTTGGCATGAAACTACAAGCCCAGCGTTGGGGTGAAAGGCTCCGACAGCGATGCTCAGCTAATCCCCATGGAATTGGGTCAGGTTTCAGCGTGCCTATGTGGGTCCCGTAGGAGCCCAGTTTTCACCACCCTCCCCAGTCGCAGCCGCACGGAAAACACATCTGGAGGCTGCAAGGGATGTGTGTGTCCCTCGGGAGCCGGTGCCGCGCTCCGGGGAGGAGGCAGCTCTCATCGCCCCGGGTGAGGCAGACGGAGAAATCCCAGTTTGCTCCGTACGAGCGGGCAGCACGGCATGAGAGACACCCTCGGGTCTGGGTCATCTGAGGTTAATAACGACTTCCTCTGCCTTTACCTCCTAATTTTATCCTTTCAAAACTCACTGTAATGAGTGAAAAAGACAGTCGTAGCTCTTGGTCCTGGTGCCCCCGTGGCCACCCCAGACCCAGCCAAGGCTCCGCGGCTGCCCCACCACGGGAGTATGTTCCATGCCCTCAGTGGTTACTCAGCTGAATCGCTCACACTATCACATCGATGGTTCTGCTTATACGTGCAAAATTCCACCCAAAATAGCGGATAACGTGTACGTTACTTTCCAGGGGTGCTTTGTGAGATGGCCGCTGGTGGGAGCGGAGTGGCAGAACTCGAGAGAGTACATCAGTCCTTTATAAAATCTTTATTAAATGTGAAACTGGGGGAATCGAGGTCAATATTTCAAGAGGGACCACGCACCTCTAAATACAAATACTTCACATGCTGCTTTGTGCTTTCTCCCATTAACTTTATCTGAAAACCTGTGGCAATTACAAAAGTTCACCGTTCTTTAGACTCAGTGGGTGAATACAAACAAATCCCCAGTATTACGGTGCTATTTTTAAACGGGAACAAGAAGAAAATAAAGGGGTTTTTTTTGAAGATTAAAGTTGCTGAACAATCTTAGCTTTCAGTCATCCGACTTTTCCCAAGAGATGTTTGAAGTTAGTTGGGAATATCTGAACTTTACAGCAAATAAAATTGCCCATACCAAGGGCACCGCGTCTGTACTCAACACTGGGACGCGGGACAGGCTCGGTGCTCAGACACCAGGGGGTTGATTTAAAAATCAACAAGACAAAAAAAAAAAAACCAAACAAAAAAAAACCAACCCAGCGATAATGTTTTTAATCAAAGTGCAGTTTACTATCCGGTTTCACCCAAATTTAAGACATCTATCGGAGAAACCAAACGTGTAGGGGGAGCGTCGGATGTAGCTTTCTCTGATCGAAGTGCCTTGGTTTACATTTGATCTTCTGAGGTTTGGTCTGTAATTAGATGATAATTTGTATCGCAATTATGCAAAACAAACGAGGATTGGATAGCAAGATAGACCAGAACAAATAAGCACCCAGAACATTTGAAATGCATCCAGTATTAAAACGATGTACATGTGTGGCTGGGGCCGGCGGGACATGCTGTTCCAATAAAGCTGTAGAAAGGGAAAAGGCCGGTATCGGTTCCTACAAAAGTTTCAAATGCTCATGTTTACAAATTTGTATTGCACATTAATATGTAAACACACGCTATTGGAAACAGATGACTCCGCAATATTTACGTGTCCTTTTTTCTGAGTTTTGGGTGTCTGTTTGTCTCCCAGAATACACAGAATCTGCAGGGACTCTTCTGAAACATGGCTCAGGAAGCTAAATAAGAGGCACAGCACCTGAAGGTACCGTTTTAAAAATCGCTGGTGCCACGGTGGCTCTCCTGGCCCCTCAATGTATTTTGGGTACTGGGTGTAGGGGGGACACGTCCCCCAGCTCCTCCTGGCACTACGAGCACTTGATGGCCGGAGCACCGCAAGTGATTCCTCGCTCCTCGGTGGTTACACACTGAACGTATTTCACAACTTTCTCCATCTCCACGTCGCTCGGAGGCACCGGAGCCGTGGCAGACGGCCACGGCATCGCCCAACCACAGCAGCAGCCCCGGCCACAACGCAACCGGCTCAGCGGCCTCTGTGCTGCGCCGATGCTGCGGCCACGGAGCGCTGGGAAAAACAGCTTTTAACATGGAAAGTTATTGTTGATAAAATAATTTTGCGAAGGAAAAGAAAAAAAAACAAAACGCTTTCCTTGCAATCTGTATAAAAGCTTGGGACTTGTCAGTCAGCTTTTCCTTCACCTGTTGATTTGCATTTTAGGACGCAATCTCCGGGCACCCCTTTCCGTGCTCGGCTGTGTCTGTGCGAACCACAGCCCCCCACGGCCCCCGGGGGGTTAAAGCCACTGTCGGGTGCAGCAGCCAGGGCTGTTGGGAATTAAACTGGCTGCAAGGACTTTTGCAGATGTCGGGTATTGCACTGCAAGCTGTTCATGCTTAACAGAGCTCTGCCTTCACTGAGCTTGAGTAGTTTCTGAATTTTATAGTTATTTATAAACCCACTTCTCTGTGTCCCTCCCGTGACATTCACAAGACGGACCTACCGTCTACTTCCATACATCAAACAATTTCCTCCCAGATTGCTTATCCTAAAGCACAGAGTTTTAAGTTTATTGTAGCAATTAAGTACGAGAAGTAGTCCAGGTTTTGTGAAGGACCCCTTGAGCTTATAAATCAAGTGACACAAACCAGCAAGTAAAATTCAAGACCTTTCTGGAGAGGAAAACACCAGCGATAAGGGACAACCCCCAGGAGAAATAATATTTGCTGTCTGAGGAGGCAAATCCTGAACAAAAGCAGAGATGGGGGAAGGGGGTCAGGATGGCTTTGAGCTCTCTGAAGTCTGAAGATATATTAGATGCACTAAAGAGGTTTGCCCATATTTTCTCTTATTTTAAAAGCCTCGTTCTTTCAGGTTTTTAAGAGAACTGCTTTTTGGAGAAATTCACTTTTTGCTTCTTGGCGCTGGCTCCAGATCTCATCTCTGAGCTGGGTCCCAGCTCCAACAATTTCCTCCGGGCCCTGCCCGGCAGCTGGGAGCACTTAGCAGCTCATCCACCCTGTCGGGCTCACCTGCGAGAGGGAGACCTGACAGGTCCATCTGCTTCCAGTCAGGCCTGCAAATAAAACCGGACCTCGCCTCTAAAGGGAAGAAAAGAGTCCTGGACTCGTGTGGTTGCTCAGAGTTACTCCCGCTATTACTCAGATGATGCTCTGGGGATGGATGCTGCTTTCTGCTCCTGGTCCACTGGAGCGAGCTGCTGAATCCCTTCACCATGGATCTGCACCTCAAAACCAGCAGAAATACCCTTTTTTAATTCAATTTGGGAGACTGTTGCGCTCTCCAGGAAGGTTTCAAAGACACGCTATTAAACACTGGTTGGCATTGCTGTGGGAAGGACCACGATACCTGTTTGCACAGCTGGATGCTGCCCTGGCTTTGCCCACCTCACCCCAAGCACTCGCGGGATTTAACCATCGTCTTCCATCATGTTACTTGAAACACCATGCGAATTCTGCTTTTGATGGGATGCTGAATGTGCTGCAGAAAAAGCTTGTATATTCAAAGCAGTTTGGTAAATGTTGGGGGTGGGACTGTGTTTCACAGGTGTCTTCAATACCAGGACAAAATGGAGTGATCCAGGAGGTGAGACTGGTTTATCCTCAACCAGCACCATGATGCCCTCCACGTAGACTGCCATTTTAAACTCTTTTTATTAAAAAAAAAAAAAAAAAAAAAAAAGAAGAAGAGAAAGCATAAATCCAGATACAGAGCAACATTTCAAGTGCTAAACTGTTTGTAATACAGTGTTAAAACTAGGAGATAATGTCAGATGATGCAGCACGAGGAGGGAAGGCTGGCAGCTCGGAAAGCTCCAGCGGGGCCACTCGAAGGCAAAACCTCCCCGTCCCAAAGGTGCCTTCAGGTGCGTCAGATAAGATCCCATCCTCTCGCGGGACTTAAGAGCTGGAATTAGGGGGTTTTCTCCCCGAAATGAGAGAAAAGCAGGAGCATGAGCTACAGGCACCGCTGCCGGTGTACAACAAACAGATTTAATTTAGGTTTACACAAAAATTTTCATTTCTGTAGTCTTGCAGTGAATCATTATGTATGAAAGTGTTAATAAACTTAAAGTGGAGAACTAACGGTCTTTAAAAAAAAAAATTATTACCAACTATTTTTCTTCCATTGAGTAAAATCCATGCTGAGCACCCAACTGCCCTGCTCAGGACGTGCAGGTACTGCACGTCTCCACTCACCAACAACACGTTTAGCTTCAGCCCTTTGCCGAATTCTTCTTTTATCTTCATTAAAAGCCTTACTGTAAAATTAATCGAAGCTGATAAGTTATTTCCTGTATCGTATTTCTTCTAACGTTATCAATATTGCTAATAAAAATATAGATTGAAACAATATGTTGTAATGTCCAGGATATAAGCCAGATTCTGCTGCAGCTCAAATAAATATGAATTTGGCCTTTGGTTTTCATAAAAGCAGGATAATGTCTCTATC